GATCATAATTTCCTTGTAATTACACCACTAGGAGCATTCTCATCAAGGACATAATATTTTCTATCACGATATTTTAAAATACTTAATGCTGTCAGTTTACCATTATGACAGAGTATTTCCCTGCCCTTTAGCTTATCTCAATACACTTTCCTACAGAATGGTAAATATCTGACATTTGAAGCTCCTTGGTTAATAAAAGAGAGTTTATCGCTAGCAGCTGACTTGGGAATGTATGTTGTCGACAAAGCAGCAGTTTTTTCCATCTGACTGACTTACAGAATTTTTGGAGTTACATGACAGCTTCTAAGACACAACAGTCCAGAGGTGAAGACAGAAATTATTTACTATTTTGCTGCAAAAAACAATGGGCAACCTTCTGTCTCCCTACTCCAAGACCCTGTTCACAGGATCAGTACGCAACCCATGTGTCATGGTTGGAGATAGCCTTTCTGCTGGCTCTCTACACAGAAATAGATTTTAGTCCAGCTGAACAACCTTGAAGGAAATATCTTTACTTGGAAGATTAATGAACACCTTCTGCTGAATTACTTGTTCATCCAAACCCCCCCATCTCCCAGGTGTACAAGCAGGAGATATTAGAAGGCAGTAGCAGACCTAGGAACAGCTGTGGCAGTTAGTGAAGGCTTTCCTCAATCCAACAGCCCAAAAGGCACTCTTTCCTGACTTCTTTAAAAGCCTCAGTTTCACTAGAGGTATAGCAGAGGAATGAGGGCTTAGATTTAGTGAGACTGATGAAATGAGGAAGTGTAAGAAAGAGTATTCGTGATCCAGAACATGGCACATTTGTGTTTATGTGAAATAGTGGTTCAGGTCTCATCAAAATTTTACATTTGTATGTATGCATGTATTTATTTTACAAACAGGGATTTTTTATGATGCAAATTATTTCATCAAAAAGATTCCTGACAAGATCAGTCTGACATCTTTACTGTCTTTATTACTCCATGATTTCCATTTAAAAATAAGGTGCTCTGTAACCAGTGGTATAGGCGAAGCTTTTGTGGGTTTGGGGTGAGTTCACGCCTTGTAGTTAGATTATTTTGCACCTCTGAGGACTGAGCTCTGAGCAAAGCAAACGATGGCCCTTCTCTGTGTGGATTCTCTAGTGTACAGTAATATAGCTCAACATTTTTCCTCTCCCTTAGTGTGGAACTAATCTGATCTCTTTTTTTTCTATCCATCTGCTCATTTTCATTTATTCAATACCTCTGAAATTTTCTGTTCTGTATCATATGTGATTAACATTAGCTAACAGATCCAAAAAATACTGTATTTCTCTCAGACCTAGAGAGAAAGTGATGACATCATCTCTAAGAAACCTCTCTAACAAATAGAGCAAAATCAAACCAATGCAGCACATGCTAAATGAATGAAAACCTGGCACCACAATAGCTCTCAGCTAGTGAGATGGAGACAAGAATTATCATTCTTTGTATTTTTTTCATAGTCATCGAGGAGATTTTGGGCAAAAAAATAATCACCATCTTTTTCAATGATGTGGAAGCAGAAATAAAATTTTTGCCAGTGAACTTTGCAGATGCCACAAAACCCATGCAATGATAGTTGATGAGAAGGACAGTTTTAGCTCTGCAGTAGGGTGTCAATCACATGCTAGACTGTGCCCACATTATGGATGAGAATGTATGACACATTTACCAGTGGTATTTGTATTTTAGGAAACAGTGACTTGGAAGCAGATGCAGATTTGAGCTGAACATGTGCTCAAAATGTGATAGAGTAGCTAAGAAAACAGTGGCAATCTTACATCTGAAAGGAGAGCGCTACTGAGCAGAAGATATGGTGTTAACCACATGATGGTTTATTAGTGAAATTTTGTATTCAGTTCATCCGTCTGCACAGTAGCAACAACACTACAATGGTAAGAAAGGTCCAGAAAAGAATGATGAAGAGTATTAGCAACCTGGAAAATCTTCCTAATTCTGGGAGTAAAGTTCAAACTAAGATTTGGCAACATAAATATATTGCAAGATATTAAGTTAGTGCAGTACTTTGCAGAACATTATCTTCACTGTGCTGGCTGCCCACAAGTATGTTCTTACCTTGTGGATAGCACAAGGTTGTTTTGCCCTCAAGAAAAAGGGAGTTACCTGTTTTACCTTCACCATGGTTAAAAGGGAATACAAGAACCACTTCTGTAGAGTAGCTGATGTACTATCTTCTTGCTGCCTGACAGTAACCTACCCTACAGTACTGCATCCCCAGTGAATTCAAAAGTAGGTTAGAAGATGACGTGGTCAGGACACAAAAGTACAATCATGGGAAGCTGTCATACTTTTGTGGTCCCTTTAAACTAACATAATCCAGCAGCTGGAAGCTGAAGCTGGAAACATTGAGACTGGAAGTTAAAACCTGGTTTTCTAGAGATGTTGGAGCGATCAGTTACATTCCTGAAGTTAAAATTACAAATGTTATAAAAGCTCACATAGAAGTTTTATCTTTGATACAGGGAATCCCTTAAAAACGTCTTGAATCTGATTTGTCCAAGCAGTCACATTAAACAAGTAATGGCATTTCCTTTTTATAATCGATAGATTTGTAAGACCAGAAAGTTATAAGGCTGCTTCTGCCTCCTTGGTATGTGATCCATACAGCCACCATACCCTCAGCAGTATAAATGGTAAGAATGTCTGGACTCAAAATCAGTTTATGGATTATAGCTATGCTGATGTTAAATGAACCTTTATAAATTATTATTTCTTTATTAATTACTCCTTGTCATTATGATTAAAAAAAGAGAAAATACAGCCAGCTGCAAATGAGATTAAAGTTAGGACTGGCATGTTGAAGGCTGAGCTGTTACTCTTGCATATCAGCATCACAACATCACGTGAATTGATTACATTACATTAGCATTCAGCTGAAATGTTAGCTTGTAAACATCTTGCCATCGCTGAAGACATGTCTATAGAAAGGTTGCCCAAGTTTGTAAGATATACACAATGCTTGTTTGCTTGGATTTTTTTGTGAAATATATATGAATATATATTTCTTCTTGTCAATAACCCGCTTCCCCTCTGCTTAACAGGGAAAAAAGGACGAGGTCATCCCTCTATTTACTTACAGCCTAAATCCTTTCCCAAATCCCTGCAGCACTTGCAGTGCTACAAAAGCCCACAGAAATTACACTTCTTGTCATTTGAATCCATAGAGGTGTTAGGCTTCAGTGGCTGAAGAGAGGTAAAATTTTTAATTTCATCAAAGAGACTTAGGAAAGTATATCTTATCCTATGGGCCTCAGCCTCTCTTCCTTGAAGACTAAAATTACATTTTCGGAAACAAGGTATCTTGCATGCAGGATCCTTTGGGTTTTGTACACACACATATACACATATACATGGTTCTATATTAAAAGACTTGCAAAAAGTTTGAGGCAAAACCTGACAGGAATGATGTTCTGTCAAAATTTCAGTGCGAGATCCTTAGACTGCAGCACTCTCAGCTTTCCAGAGCAGGACTTGATGCATGAGGTTAATCGCAAGGATTCATTTTGTTGACGTATCAGAAACCCAAAGCTGGCTCCATATAATACATAAATCCTTTAATGCAACCAACAGAGCTACAGAGCTTCTGTGCTCTAAAGCTGATATTTTCTATTAATTCAAGATTCCTATTCATTCATCTTTCTTTCCAGGCCAGTTGCTAAAGAAAGGGTTTTGTGGTTGGAGGAAAGGCAAGCTCACAGTTCAGAAAGGCAGAAGGTAAACTGGTAGCCCCTATGTAGTCAGTAGGACTTTTATCACTGTCTTCAAGTCTGGTTTTTACCAAACACTTTTGTATATGCAAACTTACATTTCTGTAACTTTTCCTGTGCATTTATTTACCAGATCTGTAAGGAAAACTAGAAACACTTCTGAACTCTTTTTTCACAGGGAGATGAAAGGTTTTCCCAGAAAACAACTGACATGAGAAATTGCAGGCATAAGTGTATTGTTCTCTAATAATTTCTATAACATAAATTCAAAGCTCCAATCTATTGACTTCTAAGGATGCAACACGTTCATGGACAACTTTAGACTGTGCCAAGACGAAATCCTACCAGGAACTCATCAGAAGTTATGATACTCAAAATCTGAATCTGAATTTTGTTCTTTAGCCTAATTTTTATCAAAAATCAGCAGAACACATGGCAATCCTACAGCTGATTACATTTCTCCATCTCACTGTGAAGGCAGGGAAAAGGAATGGAATGACTTCTGATGAAGAGGACAATGAGAACATGATATTTCTGGACTAGCCCCTTTTCTCTCTATCACTTCAAATAGGTAGTGAAAGCTGACTAATCACATTAACATTTAAGGGCATCATTTTATAATAGTGGCTGGGAGATATCTTTGTTCATACTATTCTGTAAAAAAATGACCTGAACAGAAAATACGCTTTGCATGAATCTCCCATTTGTCAGACTAACAAACATACACTAACCAGATCATGTAGAAATTACAATGCAGTTTGTGGAAATCTCATAACACAAGTTGTAATTCCTGAAGTGGTTAAAACAAAAAAAAAAATTATATGTTAAGAAGTCTGGAGACAGAATAAATATGGTCAGTCCCTTCTGCACCAGAAGAGCTACGAGAACCTCCATATGTTTTGAGACATTTGCTTTCTGTCAACTTGCTCGGCTAATCTATGATATTACTGAAGCAATTATATAATAGGCATTAATGTATTTATAGAAAACAGACACTATCTGGCTAAAAAATGGAAATATTTATGGAAAAAAACACGAGCTACTTATCTGACACACTGTCAGATAAAGGTATACCTTTATCTCTCAATGGTGGTACATCTGAAGAACGAAAGGTGATCAGTTCATATGAAAGTTTTAGTGAAATGGATTCATGGTTACAAAATATTTTACTGAAAATGACCTTGCTGCTTCAAGTATGTTCACAAATATTCCATTACAAGTTGAGTGTGAGTATATATAAAAAGATAAGGACACTATCTACATTTACCTACTCTGATCCCAGTTGGCTGCAAAAAGCAGAAGAATCTTCCTGCCACAGTGGTCACGATTTTCCAGCACTCCCGGGAACCCATCTGTCAGAGCCCGTTTGATTCCTGGATCATCAGCTTTGAAGTTCTTGAACATATCCAGATTTAATTGGCGGTACTGGAAGTACTGAGCCAACAGTCTGAAGGCCTCAGTTTGGTGAAACTTTCTGGCTCGGAGAAATCTCAGGATGAAGGCATCATCTGTACGTAAAAACCCAATGTCAGGTCTCGTGATGATCATGTCCCTGACCTGCTGGATATCCTGATGCAAAATGTCCGGGTTTTCATTCAGTTCCAGGCGGGCTTTCTCTATAGTCTCTGGACTAAGTCCAGCTTGTAAATGGGTCATCTCTGCAAAAACCTCTTTTCCAAATCCTTAACTTCAGATATTTTAGCAGGAGAAGTGCTGATCCCATCCAACTGCTGGTCTGCTGTGAGCATGAGCCATTCAGAAGCTTTTTGCTATCAAGCTGATATTTAACAAATAAAAGCAAAGGGCTTTTCTTATTCTTGCAGAAGGAGTAACAGGCAGTTCACATGTAGTATAACCCATCCAAAGGAGAATGCTGTTTACTCCATTGCTTACTAAAAGAAAAAGCACATATATAAAAGAAAGTTTAAATATGTATATAAAGCTTACCCAAATACATTTCTGAACTTTATAGATCAATAAATTGTTCTGTTTGATTCATATGTAAGAGGATAGCAGTTAAATAATTTCAGAAAAGGTGCATTTAAGATAAGGCTGTCACTGACATCTTGAATGTATATATTCAGGTTTTGGAAAGGCAATCTGATTAATTGACAGTTAATACTAAACTGTATCAACTTGCTATTAGAATATACTTTGGAAAGTTGTTGTATAGAAGTGTGGGAGTTCCAACATCCCATACCTTCAAGACCAGGATGACAAAAGCAAAAACAGCGGTAATTTTTTTCCACGCCTAACAAGAGCTACATTTCAGCTTCCTAAGTATGCAGATTTGCACTCATCTTAATAAGCATAACAACTGCTTGATTTGGTTTTATCATCCATACTATGAGCTTGTAGCTTTCCTTGAATTAGCCCCTGAGCTGACTGTAAAACTGATTAAAAAAACCCTGAAACTCCACCAACATCAGGGGTATTTTTTACTTGGTAAAATCTCACTGAAAATATTTCCCATTGAGAATTAATACATCTTCATGGGAAACTTCCCATGAATAAAGTGCTTGATGAATCAAATCTGACAGGATTGTTGTTTTAGTTGAAAAAAGATGTATTTTATTCCAAATTCTATTTTTCAGTATCTTGTAGCATTCCTAAATACCTAGTTCTGAATTTCGTTTTCATTCCTGTACTTTACGTAGAATTTGTTTTTACAAGTGTTAGAAGAAAAGCTACTTAAGCTGTTATGTTTGAACAAAATGGTACAGTGAATCTCTTACATTTCAGTGACATAATTAGCAAGAGTCTGCCATCGAACTCTGTGTAGTTACACTTGCGTGAAATAAGATCAAGGTCTGTTCCAATGTGAAATGTTTCTGAAGAAAGATCAAGATCCGTCCAATTTTTCAGTCATCACAAAAGCAGACAAGCAAACAAAACCCCCCACCACTTAACTGGTATCTCTCTCCTTCTAATTTCTGGAAAGCAAAAACTGATTTAAAAATTAAAAGGGAATCCCTCAGTGAAAGACATGCTTTATTGTATTTGAAGAAAGCTGTTTGTAAAGTTATGAATTATTTATAGCAAAACAACCATTTCACTCAGCTACTCGGCTGGATTCAGTGTTCTCGTATCAAACAAAGTGGACAGCAGCAGCCAGAGCATTTCTTCGTCCAGGGGCTGCTTAAAGTTACATTACAGGACCTGGAAGTCAACGAGCACAAGGGATGCCCGAGTTCCCTATTTTGTGAGCTTGCATGTCTTCAATAAAAACTACATTTTAGATGCCACAGCTGCAGCCCGGGGAGGAGATCACTAAATTCGAATACAGACAGTTTCTGAGTATTTGCTTAAAGGACATTTGTGGTGGGAGGTAAGATTTTCGTTCAGCAGCGATGTGCATTAGACTTGTCTGTGGGTGATACAAAGGAGAGTGTGTTAAGCAGCCTCTTTCTGTGTTCACTGTGGAGCTGGAGTTCCAAAGAGTTACCTGCAGGGCAGAGTATCCGGTGATTCATCAGCCTGGGAAAACTTGGTAAAAGGCAGAGCCGACAGGAAAGGCGGTTGGTGGCCTTTGACAAGTCACTACTGGGTGCAAATGACTTCAGAAAAACAAGCCCTAAAGCCTTGAGGGGGTAATCTATGGGTGCAGGTTATTAAATTCTTGAAGAAATGAGAGTTGTATTGAAGATGGATTGCACACATCAAAATAAAGTAACAGTTATTTTCTCTCCTCTCACCTTTATGAGACCCAATTAGTGATAACTCCAATGGTATCAATTTAAATTCACTGATGTAAAATTGATGTAGGCCATGAGAAAATAAGGCCAATATTTTGTGATTAAGTTCTCAAATTAATGGTGGCATTAGCATTTTCTTGCATAAATCATGTTTTTAGTTACAATTGCCTCCATGAGCTAGTTAGGGGAGCTCAGTGTATTTCAGTGTGACACTCTCATTGGGGAAGTGTAGTGTAAGGATTGATTGGTTCCCTAGTTTTAACATCAAGTCACACCCTAAGGAGCCTGGTTGTGCTCGAGGGTGGTCAGCAGAGGGGCGGAAGCAAGTAGCTTATCTGAGGTCTGCATCACCACTCGTCCAGGGCTCAGTATGAACACCTTTGGAGCTCCTGTGACTTAGAATTACAGAATCACAGAATCACAGAAACACATAACAGTTTGGGTTGGAAGGGACCTTTAATGATCATCTAGTCCAACGCCCTTGCAGGGAGCAAGGACATCTTTCACTGCATCGTGTTGCTCAGAGCCCCATCCAGCCTGACCTTGAACAGTTCCAGGGATGAGGAATCCACAACTTCTCTAGGCAACTACTTCCAGTGTCTCACCACTTACACCATAAAGAATTTCATCTTTATATCCAATCTAAATTTACCATCTTTCAGTTTAAAAACATTAGCCCTTGTCCTATCACTATAGACCCTGGTAAAAGTCTCTCTCTTGTCTTTCTTTATAAGACCCTTGTAAGTACTGAAAGGCCACAATGAAGTCTCCCAGAAGCCTTCTGTTCTCCAGGCTAAACAACCCCAACTCTCTCAGCCTTTCTTCATAGGAGAGGTGTTCCAGCCCTCTGATGATTTTTGTGGCCGTCCTCTGACAGGTCCAAGGACTTGTGGCCGTTAACTGTGACCCCACTGGGTTCATCCGTTTTCTGAGAGTTTATGGGAGTAGCACTGTCCCTTCCTCTGCTCCTTTTCTGACTCCCATCTCCACCAAGATGCTTCCTTGGAAATGAGGCAAATTCTTTAAAGCTCAACTGCAATCTACTCCGGAAGAAAATGGTGTTACACCAAGGAGAGAAAGTTTGCCCCTTCAGATTTTCTTGTAGGACCCACAAGCATTTAGTGTCAAAAATTATGCTACTTACTATTATTAAAGTTTCCTACTGTTTTCACCTTACTTAAATGGATTAGCACCCTTCATGCCCAGGATGATCCCAAGGGGAGGGAGACACAGTCCTCACCTGTCAGATGTTGTTGCTAAAAAGCAATTTACAAACACTCAGTCTAACAAAAGATACATTTTTTTAAAATGCGTTTCAGAGTTTTCTGATAGTGAGCTGAGCTATAGCCATGGGCTACAGCTACAGGAGAGCCCAATTATCAGCCGGAACAGATTTTCCACTAAAATACTTTATTGGTGTAATATTATATATTGCAAAATAATCCAAAATATGTGTGAACAATGTTGTCACTCTCTGAATCATAACATAAATCATGGGGCTAGTAATCCACTTGAGCACCACTGACTTCCAGGAATCTTATTTATATCAATGGATGATTTGGTTCTCCCACTGCTTACCTTGACAATAAATTCAATGCTGCATAGCTATCCAGTTTAATTGTCATTGTGTTTTCTCAAATGGTACTGATTTCCTCTGATTCCCAAAGGTATAACAGAAGCACCTTCTTCATTTTCACCCCCTCCCACACATGGCAATTTCTCCTTTTCTTCTGGTGTCGTGTACAGCTCTGATCCATCTGCCAACTTTTCAGATGTTTGCATCTTTGTTCTGCTTTTTTTTTTTTCCCCCCAGATGAAGGTGTGGGCCTTTTTTTCCCTATCTAGAATATTGTTTCTGCGTGTTGGCACACTAGACTCTTTGTTATAGTCTCAACAGCTGCTTTTCTGTGTTGTGACTTTTTGTTCCCAAAGGACTATTTGCTCTCCTAATGTCTTTTCACAGTCACTTACAATAAATCATCCCTCCAAAGGAATAAAACCCAGCTTTATACAAGGAAAAATAATTAACAAAGATTTGAAACACAATGTATTAATAGAGGAAAAAATAAGGGAAATTTCCACCAAAATTGTGGTGTCACATACCATTTCAGTTTATTCATTTTCATTCCCAACAAGAGAATGACAAAGGACAGTGAGTGGCTTTAGGATGGGTAAAACACTGAAAATGGGGTACAGTCTTCAGACAAACAGCTTATATTTTTGCCCGACCCTCAAAAATAAGATTTAATTAATAATAAAATTTATAGAAATACTTAGTAATTAACTAAAATGAAAACAATATCTTAAAGAAGTATATGTAGCCCTTTCCATCCAAAGATCTTAATATGCTTTACTGCTCTGTCTTCAATGACAGCTTCTGGATCAGCGTCCAACCTCTATTTGCTCTACTTCCCCTAGGAAATTGGCCAAAACCTGCTCTCAGTGATGATGATGCTCGTCTGGATCATTCTGTTCCCACCCGCTTAGCTGTCCCTGTAACACCATTTCCCTCTTGCAGCATTGTCCTCGCCTCCATTTGGCCCTTCCCTATCCACTTCAGTTCCAGCAAGATTTTAGTTGCCTCTGTCTACTGAGTGTTTTCCATTCAGTTGAAAGCTATATGCCATGTGACATTTCATTACCACAGCTTTCAAATGGGGAAGGGGTTTGATCATCACCTGGTATTAATAGTCATCCCTGCTATGATTTGTCTTATTATATAATTCCTAACTCCTAGCATTCATACAGATATTAGCTGCTAAAATCATGCCAGAAAAGAAGAGAGTGGGCAGGGAAGGAGGGAAAATGGTAATCTGGGATGATTTCATCTCAGAGTGTGGGTGTCATCTCATTAAATTGCTTTTTAAAAAATATTTTGATGTTAACTGTGGAAAATAATCTTGGGGCTATGTTCTGCTTATCCAGGATTGCTCCAAAAGGGCAGGGTAGGATGAATCCATA